AATTCTGAACCCTTTTTGGTTCAGAATTCTAAAAGTATTAATGTTTCTTTACCTCTTAAGTATAAAGAAAGCTTCAATTCAGCCTTCTTTTCATCCAGATACATTGCATGTAGTATGTGTTAGAAAAACTACTAGGCATTTAGATTTACTTATATTACTTTATCCATAAGTAAGAATTTTCCTAAGTGCAGTGAGGGGTAGGAGACATGGAAACTTTTCTCATACTTATAGGTGATATTAAACTGAAATATGTAACTGCCTTTTGGGAACAGTATTAAGTTTTTCTGCTTTTTTTCTATGAATTAGCCTTAAGCATAGCAAAACTAAGATAAATTTAAATTTAATATTGTTAGAGAGCACTGTTCAAGATAAACTTTCATATATATATCACAGTACAGCATTATACAATGATTCTATATAAAAATATTTAGAAGCACAGTGATGATTTTAAGAAGGCATAAACATTTTAATGAAATATAAGAAAGTCATGAATATTTATATAGATATGTTGCAAATTTAAGGTAAATCAACATAGGATAAAATAAACAGAAGATTACATGCAAACCCTATATACTTTATTTCTGGTGTTATACTTTCCTACTATAGTACAAAATCAATTAGTTCCTCTACCAGCACTAAAGACTTGTCATCTATTCATTTTAGGAGAGGAAAAAAAAATGCTTCACATTTTCCTAAAATAAAGACTGCAATAAAGTGCTGTTTTCTTTTTAAAGGATATAGATCCTAAGAATATAAAACTAAAGTATAAAAAATGAATAGCATTTCTTTTCCTGCCATCATATCCTTTCTTATCTCATTCCTACATACAATGAATGATAAGCTAAAGTATTTAGACATGTACGGTGACTGAAAGCAATGTCTTCAAGTAAACAGCTTCTTGTTTAGCCTCTTACTCTACCATACTTAGTGTAAAAATCAAAGGATATTTTAGAAATATTTTGTAACTATTATTGTAGCAATAATGTCTTGTTAGAACAAGACAATAAAAATGACCTAGAGAATTCCGTGAACAATGATACTTGGATTACAAGATGGCTAAAAATCAGAGGCTATTCCTGTATGCAAACTATTTTTACCAGTCTAAATACTATGTAATTTACCACTGAACACCCAAGTTTGGCTGAAGTGAACATTTGCTACTATCAGTAAAAAACTCCCTTTCTTACAGGAACAGCAGAAATAAAGACATTTAGTCATCAAAAATGGCACAATGTACATCACACAAATGATTATATTATGGTTCATAAGGAGAACAGCCACAATTTTGATCAAAGAAATCTTAATACATGTGAAGCCTTAAAACAGCAACATGGCAGGGAGGGACAGGGAGGCGGGAACCTAATGCATTTGAATTAAAGGAAACAGGCAATATTTGGTCAATGTCAACAATGCTATTTAACGACTGCCTTACCTACTTTACTGAAATACAGAAATACCTATGTACATGATTTAAATGTGCACAAGACTTGGGCTTTTTTCTAGACTACGTACATCATTCAGCACACAATTCAAAAAGTTGTTGTGTATCCGACACACTCCCAATAAGATGATGTTACACTGAAACATATAATATTAAACTCGCAGAGATTGCTTTTGATGCTAAGGAGTAATTTGTCTTATTTTTACAAGAATGCTAAATGGTGGTGATTTCTAGAATATTTTTTTCTGTATCACCAAAAATAGGATAAAATTTATTTTAAAATTATGGTTTAGAGGTAGAGCTGAAATCATTTATTTAAATTATAGGAAAGAAAGACTTAAAATCATTGTAAGAGAATAATGGTGAAAAACATTCTTGCCTAAGAGTCTCCATCTTCTTTGGTTATAGTTGTTGTTTCAAGTTGAAACAGCATCACTAGTACTGCTGCCTTCGAACATTTTGTTTCTGGAAAAAAGCCTTTCCAAATTCATAAGTACTGATCATAATGGCACAAGCAGGAGCAATTTTAATTAAGCGAGGAATTAGGCCTGAAAAAGAATAGGAATAATCAAAACAAATATTTTTTCCTTACCTTATTTTTAAAACTATAATTTTTTGGCTTTATTCTGATAATGTTCAAATTAAATGAATATGTTAAAATCCATAAATTGGTAGAAAAGACTGCACCTCCAACAACCTCACTTCAATCCATATTACATTATAGAGAAATTTTTATCTTACTGATAGTAAATCTGTTATTTAATGTTTATTTTAATTTATAATACAGATATTTAGGAGAAAATAAACATAGTATGTTACCTATAACTTCCTTCTATAAGTTAATTTTAGAAGGTGATAGGTTTAAAAGTAATCATTCTATTCAATGATTCGGTAAAGCCAAGTATTTTTACCTGAAAATAATCCGGAAAATCCATTTTTAGCAACAATGTTCTTCATTATAACCCAGGTTGACATATGCAAAGGCACAGAAACTAAATGTTAAAATAAAGAAATAATGCTATTATAAATAACAATTTAATAATTCCTAATACAGATAACACAAAGTAGTGTTCATGGCCCTTGGGGATATATAATTTCATTACCATAAGAGGTTTGTTTACCTAAAAAGCTACTTTAAGTTTTAATAGATTCATTAAAAATAAAAAACAGAAAAAGGCTGTATATTTAAAGATGTATAGGACGGGATGCAATTAAGGAGGAATGTACTGAGGGTTTCTCCTGACTTGATAATGCTTGTTTCTTAAACTTGATGGTAGTATTTTTTAAACTTTTTTCTAGGTCTTAAAAACTTTTCATAATGAAATTTTTAAAAGATGTATAGACAGCTACTTCGGAGGCTGAGGTGGGAAGATTGATCTCTTGAGACCCCCATCTCTTAAAATGTGTATAGAAACCTTCATGGGGTATCCAATGCCAAAGAAAAGTCCTCACAACCATTTTTCATTCACGTTTTATTATAAATAGTTTTAAAACTTCTTTTCTTCTAAAAAGAGTTCTGAGGAAAACAGCTCATTCTCCCTAGCAGTGTCTTGAGTTATTACTACCTTTCTGAATGGGTATGCTAGTCTTGAAATAAATTAGACCAGTGCTCTCTCCTTCGAAGGGTTTATTTTAGCTAACAATAACATCTCACTTATTTGCAACCACTCAAATATCTGGAAGAAAATGAATAAAAAACTATGTTTTTTAAAACTTAGCAAAAGTAGATGTCACTGAAGTATAAACATAAAGGTTGTTTGTAAACTATATTTGTTTATTTTCATTTTATGCACTTTTCTAAACAGCTACCTTGGCCCACAGACTACTAGATGCAATAAGATTAAAAAAAAAAAAATTGTAAGAACCAGATACACTACCATGTAAACAACATGACAGCTAACAGGATGAAGATTTCAATGTCTTGTTTTGAGACCAGCTGGATGATGGGCAAACAATCCTATACTGCCCTCTCTAGCTTTTGAGAGCTGCTACTCTACAAAAGTCAATGTTTACATGGAAGACAACCCTGAATCATTAAACAAGATTAAAGTATGTACCACTAAGCAAGCCTGGAAGATAAAAGTTAAGATAAAACGATATCTTTCAAAAATGACTTTCTAGAATTTTGCCATTTAATGGAGTGTGATTCATTATCTCCAAATTTCATTTATATAAAATATCAGAATCTCTGACTATGAATAAATGAGGACTAAGATAAATGAAGCCTTATGATTTATTTAAGAAGCTATACCAGCAATAGTATAAGCATAAACATAATAACTACAGCAGCCCAACACTGATTACAAAATATGAATGAAATTTAACTTTCTCAAGAAAGTCAATGACAAGAACTTTCTAAGTTGGCAATTTTCACTTCATGTTTAAATTATTTCATTTAAATTTTAAAAACTAGTCAAAGAATGGTGATCAAGCAGCAGGTGTTTCTAATCTTGTAGAACTCATGCCCCAAACTAGTTTCTATTTTAACAGGAAGGTGAAATTAAGAGAATGACAAAAAGAATATCAACTGAAGGTAAGCCAAGCTCTAGTGGAACCTTAGAAGTGTCTCCTGCCTAACATTTAAACATTAAAGAGCTACTCCTACAGGTAATAAGCAAATTCTTGCACTGTAAAGAAACACTTTTATTATTAAATATTTCAAGCATAGAGAAAATAAATGCTCATTTACTGAACATCCAAATTTACTATATCGTAATAACTCTTTCAGATCCAGTTGAAGCCCCCTATATATTCCTCCCCAATTGTATTTTTCCTCATTCTCAAAGGTAATCACTCTTGTCTTTCTTTTTTCATCTTTCTCATGCATTTGTTTAAATGTTTACATCTAAACATATCCAGATGTATACTCTTCTTTGTATACATCTGGAATGTACAGAACAATGTATACTTTTCTTTATCCTCCTTTTAAACTTTATATAAATGGTATCACACTGCACACTGACTTCTGCAATGTGCTTTCAGAATTATCTAGGTTGGTAAGTGCAGCTATATTTTATTCATTTTAATTGCTGCATGGTATTGCATTATATGGCTTATAATGATTTATCCATTTTCCTGTAAAGGGACATTTAGGTGATTTCTAACTTTTTGCTGTTTTTAAAAATCTTGCCTTGGATATCGTTGTACATGTGTAAAAGTTTCTCTAGGGCACATATCTAGGAGTGGAACTGATAACTCAGAATGGACTCCTTGCTACTGCCAGATTGTTTTCCAAAGTAGCTGTTCCAAATACTGTTACCATCATGGCATAAAGTTCCCAGTGAGCTACATCCTCCCCAACAGTTTAATTTATATAAAATGTTCTCTCACTGCTGTTCCTTAGTATTACCAAAATTGAACATTTTAAATAAGTTTATTTGGCAAGTATAAGCATTTCATAATGATTCATTTCTATTTTAAAATAGAAATATAATAAATATTGAAATACAGAAAAATATTGCCTTAAATATTAAAACCAATGTACTATTTATTAAATCTATTAAACATTTTAATTTTAAAATGTTTAAAAATTAAATATTGCTTGAGTAGTTTTTTTTTTTTTCTATAGTTCTATTGTCCAGTTAAGAATAGTGTTTTAAAAATATTAAATGTGTTCAGAGAAAAAGAAGTTTAACTTCTGGAAATAAGTACATTTGGGCCAGGTTTAAAAAGCTAAAACCAGAGATTAAATTTTTAAAAATTAATAATATACGACATACTCATAAATTAGGTAAAAGTTATCTCTGTTATAGGATATGGCACTTACTCCATGCTAATGTGCTTCTGAATGCAGCCTCTGTTCCAGTAGATTATGAGCTCTTTGAGGATTTGGGTAATTGTCTCATTTATCTGTATATACCAGCATGGTGCCTGACACAGTATAGGCACTCAGTAATTGACTAATGAATGAAGAATGGAAGAAGTGGTCAAAGTAGGCTGACAGATCATATACTTGCATGGAACTATCATTCTATAGTATGATAGATGCAACACTTCATATTTTCTTTTTTGCTTAGAGAGAAAGGATTTGGTATAGTTGCGCTGTGGAATGAAGGAAGTCACTTCTAAATGGAGCTGAGTTACTTCTTGGGGATAAATAATGTAAATCCAAATAGTAAGTATGGGCTGATTATCACTCAAATTGCAAGTGTAATTTCAACTGAAATATTATCTTAGTAAACCTTTAAGTAATTGGTTCATAGCTGAAGTACACTAACAGATTAAAATTTACAATGATAATCATGGAAAATTAAAACCCAACTCTTAAGATTTTTCCTTTCAGGTTTAAATGAGGAAACATTAATTAGAAAAAACCGGTGATAGGTAAGAGTTAAATCTAATAAAGAAAGATGGCTCCCTGGTGCCAGTCTCAATGAAGATATATATCACAATAACTTAGGGATCATTTTCAAAATATACAAGCTAGAGTTCCACCTCAGAGTCATTAAATGAGAGTCTATTGAGGGTGATGTCCAGCTTTAGGTATATTGAATAAGCACCTCAGGTGACTCCAATGATTAGTTACCAACATAAGTGGCTCCCAAACTTTAGTGTGCATTAGAATCTACCTGTACAGATTCCCATCTTTTCCCTTATCAACCACCATGACCACCACTACCTCAATGCCCCAGTCATTAGCCATTTATGCTAAATTACACCAAAGAGAAACTGGTGAAATCCTACTATATTAAATATTATACTTAAGAGGGGAAATAGAAATTCTGATAAGAAAAGAAGAATGAAACAAAGTAATTTTGAACTGTCAAAGGAGGACAGATAGGGCTTGGGTTTCTAGAAGGCTCATGCCTAAAACAGGGAAGTGGGAGAACCCTAATATAATAAAACTCTGATTACCTCCCAGGTTTTCATTAGCTTCTAATGTAAGAGGAGAGTAGGTATTTGACAGGTCAAAGACAAGGATGTCACCAATATCCATCAGATTCATTTGTAGAGGTCTGTAACCAGCTTCTTTCAACATTATACCTATTTTAGCTTTTATGCTAACTATTATAATCATGGGTAGAAGAATTTTTATTTACATTGTAATAGTCTTATCACAAGACTTACATAATTTTGTAATAGATAATTTCCCATGGGTTTGCTACACTTTCTAAAGGGAATAAATGACAGAGGGATCCTAGTAGAAGCAAATAGGAGTACACTTTTGTTCTAGAAGAAATTACAGGTTATGAAGAAATAAAAATACATGGTTTTTATGATTAAGTTGGGTTAATCAAAGTTGGTAAATGCAAAGGCACACAGTAAAAATCTTTAAATGTCATATTACCATGTTAACAAAACCATGGGATCATGTAATAATGAAAAGGCATCTGATAACGCTTTCATATACAGAGAGAGAGATATATATATACTATCAAAAAAAAAAGAAAAAAGAAAAGAGGTTTCCCAGTAATTTCCTATCCTTTATCCTGATTTGTCTAGATTTATCTTATTGGTTTATTTCAAAGACTTATGAGGACAATAAAAATAATAATTTGAAATAGATCTGAAAACAAACTAGGAAAAGACATCATAAAACAACTTAGCTTTTAAATGACAAAGATTATTTCTTCTTTATCGCAGGTATGAGACTTAACTGATGGCATTCAAGAAACATTCGACTTTACATTTTCTTAAATTTTTTGTTTTTGTTTAGAGATTTTCTGAGTATTCCATTCTAACAGTATATTACTTTCAGTAAAATACACAAAGAATAATGCAGAAGAAAAAAATCTTGTTTTCTTTATTTTAGATATTCCTACAATATCTGGAAGGAAAAACAAAAAAATGCTTTAAATTTATTAAACTTACTTTTATGACTTTCATATGTCCAAAGTTGTGTCTGCTTTTGTGTTTTTACTACATCAAATGGTAAAGTTGCAACAGCTGCAAACTATCAGAAAGTAAAATTAATTTCCATCAACCTTTTAACTTTTCCTAAAATATTTTTACATTCTTCTAATTAGTACATTATTTAGTAAGAATAATAATGAACATAACTTTAAAATGAAATAGTATGTATATCTTTTAAGTCTTCATTAAAGAAAACAGATATGTATTTCTCACTATACTCAAAAGTAAAAAGCCTCAGAAAAATTCCCTTACTTTCCTGAGGTCACATAGCTACTAGCTGCAGAGCCACAATTCCAACCAAACCTCTCTGACTCCACTACCAGCATTCACAATTTCTCATGCTCCTTTGTGTTTTATCATTCCTTTACATCACAAGAAGGTACAACACATATGTCAAAGCAAAAATTCTCAAGTATCTAGTAAGCATTTTAAAATTTCCAGCAAATGCTTTTAAAATAGAATAAAAAACTTAAATTTGAACAACGAAAATGAATTTTGAACTTTTAGCTCTATAAACCTTTTAAAATAGTTATGTAAATGTTTACATATTAAAATATAGTTACAATGGTTTACAATTTAGATTTTTTCCTATTAATGATAAAAGCTGGATGCAAATCACATTTCAAATAACTTTTCTCAAAATAATTTACACTTATTTCCACAATGCCTTGAGTTTTTTAATAACTTAATTCTTTTAAATATGTTATCACAATATTTGATACAACAGCCATGCAAGGTTAAAACTGGCATGTATTTTTGCTTCCCAACTCACATTTGGCCAATATGGTCATTAAATGCCCCTTTAAAATCACTTATATTTTATTTCAACCCAACAATTTGTTGATTTACGTTCTTGAAATCAGCTTTGAAGATTTCAGGTAAGGTAAAATCAATGATTTTTCTCCATCTTCATTATCTATCATGTAGTAGCTACAATGTTATGTAAGCCATTTTTGAAACTCTTTCTAAAATAAGGTGGTTTAGGTTGTTCTGTTTTCTGACAGAAAGCCTGGACACTCATATTCAGATGTTTTTTCTGTTGTAGAGACAAAACGTTATTTGAAAACTGTCAAAATGCAGCAATTTTCTAGATCATTTTAAAAAATCCTAAAAAAACAGATTTTCTAGGTTACATAGCAATAGTACAATAGAGGACTCTCCTTTGTATTTCTGCAAAACTGGTAAATATCCTAAAGCCATTATTCAACAATACTAATTGCTTTTTTTGTTCAATAGGCTTATAATCCACTAGGATTAATTTGAAAGATCTTAGACTGGGAATATTTATATCTAAGTTTTAAAGTCAACTGCGTGGCTTCCTTGGCCTAGATTTTCTGAGATATTATTAACAGTATTTTTTTCCAAGTCTCCATCACTTCACTCTGCTCCTTCACTATGGTTTTTATGTGGTTCCAGTGTGTTATTGTCTCACTACAAGTTATTACAAATTCATTTTTGGAAGTATGTGGGTATAAAAAAAACTATTACCAATGTCAGGGTGATATAAATCTGCATAATGAAAGTCTACTACAGGACTTTCATATCATTCTACAAGGAGGTGTGGAAAAAGATAAACTATTACCCAAAAAATGGTAACTTAAGATTCCTTCCGACTGTAATTTTTGTTCAAATTCTTTTAAAAACTACTTTAGTAGGAGGACAAATTTTTTCCAAAGAAACAGGAATCAGGAGCAGAGGCTAGAAGTGCTTAACGCATATGAGATGACACTGCATGAAATATTATGTAATCAGAGCAAAATTACAAAATGCTCTAAATAATAAAACTCTAAAATATTATAACTGTAATGATCCAACAAATTCAAAAGTTTCTCACAAAAATGTTTTTGCAACATAAAAACATAAATACAGTATGTTTAAATTATTTTATTTGCTAATAATTTGTTTCCTTAAACTAGAGGGCAAATATTTAGAAAAACTTTCAAGCAGTGCAGCCAAAGTGGATCTCAATATACATGAGATGTTATATAATGTTTTGTTTTAACAATTATTTTTCTGGAATATTAATAACAAAAGAATAAACTTACAGAACCAGACAATGCCCCTGAAGTAAAGTTGATCATAAATGTTGGCTCATATAAACCAGACTTCTCACATAACCACTTCTTTAAAATTTCATAGTTATACCAGTACATTGCTATAAAAACAGAGAATGAAATGAACACACATTTAGAAACAAAATGTGGACTTTAATAAAAGGGTTATGAGGTTATATATTCAGGGGATAGACAAATTCTAACCTTGACACACCTTGCTTTCTGCTTAGACACCCACTAGGGTGGGATTTCTTTTTTTAAAGCAAAATTCTCAGTAATATTCTAGCAGTCCTATAAACAAAAAAAAAACTATGCATCAATGAAGTATGACTATAATTCCAAAGCCTGACAAGGACAAGAGTACAAAGGAAAAAAGTAAAGGCCAATCTATTCATGATCATAGGTACAGACTTCCTAAAAACAATAATGAAAAACAAACTGAAGTCAGAAATATTTCATAAAATATCATACACTATGATTAAGTTGGCTTATCCCAGAAATGCAAAGGTATACAATAAAAATCTTTAAATGTCATATTACCATGTTAACAAAACCATGGGATCATGTAATGATAATGAAAAAGCTCAACACTCTGATAAAATCTGATAAAACTCAACACTCTTTCATTTAAAAGAAGCAAGTTTCTTGGAAACCTAGAAGTAAAAGGAAACTTCTTTAATTTGATAAAGAACATGCATCAAAAACCTATACCAAAAATAATTATTAATGGTTAAATGAGATCTATTTTCTTTAAAATGGGAAAAATGATGGGGATGTTCATTATTGTCACCATAATTCAAAAACTCACTGGGCAGCAAGAAAGAAAGAAAAATTATGATTATAAATGATGATATAAAACAGTTAAATTTACATATATTTTTATATATATCCAAACCAAAACGATAGTAAGACAAAGCAGAATTTATAACAGAGTGTTAAAACACAGCTGGATATAAGCTATAGAAAAAAATCAATTGCAACTGTACCAACTACAAAGATTTAATTTTAAAAAATTAAAAAAGAGCTTTAAAAATAGCTACTAAAAGCTGGGGACAGTGGGGTGCACCTATAACTAAACGTCAGAAAAAAGAGATGAATACAACCTTGATGAAGAAAAATTTGAATCTCTCCTAAAACAACTTCTTAAAGACTTATTATTAACATAAAGAGATGACATTCCTAGGGAAGAAAAATAAAGTGACATCAAGATTTTTCTTAGCCAAGCATGGTGGCACACGCCTTTAGTTCCAGCTACTCAGGAGGTTGATGTGGGAGGATTACTAGAGCCTTGTAGATAGATCAAGGCTACAGTGAGCCGTGATTGTGCCACTGCACTCCAGCCTGGGCAACAGAGTGAGACCCTGCCAAAAAAAAAAAAAAAAGATTTTTCATAGAGCACTAATAATTCAGTGTGGTATTGGCCTGAAGTCAGAAACATTAACCAGTGAAACAGATCCATGCATACGTGAAAATGTTATATGACAGAGATAACAATGCAGATCCCTGGAGCAATTATGGTTATTCAATAGATCAGGGTCCACAACCCCAGGGCTGAGGATTGGTACTGATCTGTGTCCTGTTAGGAACTGGGCTACATAGCAGGAGGTGAGCGGCGGGTGAGTGAGCATTACCTCCTGAGCTCCACCTCCTGTCAGATCAGCAGTAGCAATATATTCTCATAGAACTCTATTGCTAACTGCACATGTGAGGGATCTAGGTTGCGTGCTCCTTATGAAAATTTAATGCCTGGTGATCTGAGGTGGAATAGCTTCGTTCTGAAACCAATCACACACACACACACACACACATACACACACACACACACACACAATTTTTCCAATCATGGAAAAACTGTCTTTCACAAAACCAGTCCCTGGTGCCAAAAAGGTTGGGGATCACTGCAACAGGTAATGTTGGGACAACCAGCTATCCATGTGGGAGGAAAATGAAATTTAAAACCTACTTCAATTTCAAAACCCCAAATCAATTACGAATAAATGAATGCCAATGAAACAGTGCCCAATCTTATTAAAAACCAGGGAAACGCAAATTAAAGTGAGATACCACTTTAAATTATTAAACAAAAATTAAGAACTTTGACAATAAAAACACTGGAAGGGGTGTGAGTGAGGCAGCAGAAAATTTCATACATTGCTGGTAGGTAGGTAGATCACACAATCACTTTAGAAAAGAGTTCTATATTACCTAGTAAAATTTGAAATGTATATATGTATATGAACCAACAAATCCAATACTGGATAAACTTTCAAAGGTGCACCAAGAAACTGATTAAAAATTTTCATAGCAGCATTGTCTTAGTTGTTTACTCACATATAAATGAGTAAAAATGAAGAAAACAGTTACCTATAACACAAGAAGGAATCTTAGGAAAATTTTTTAGTAAAAGGGGATTTTCAAAAATAGGCAAAACTAATACAATGTTTGGCAATAATATGTATGTGGGAAAACTAATTCTTTTAATCAAATGAATGGCATTTAATATACGGGTTACCACTGGGGTTGTGACAGTGAAAGAACATATTTGTGGTTTCATGATTTTTAAAGGATATAGATATTATTATTCAGAGTTTCTCTCTAGATAAGTATTTCTTTTGGGTCTTAAAAACTTCTATGACCCACAGGGGAAATGCCACTAGAGTATGTACATTATATAAGTTACTGGTAGATTTGTACTTCTCACTTTTCATAATTTTCTCCCTTTTCATAATTAAGTAAGTAGTACAATAGCCTACTTGATTTGTAATAGTCTTTTACAGGATAATCATTTAATGGGGAGATGTTTATTTTTAATAACTGAAAAAGTAGGAGCCCATATAATTCCAAAGTGGTCTTATATGGATTCTATCCTTTGATTTGTAGTTGTTTTACTTATCTTACTAATTGTTTAGAATAATA